TTGTTCTTTAGGTCATTTTTAATGGTCCAAAAAAATATTTAGGCAATTTGTGTCTGGGCGCTCGGGCCCATGCAGAAGGCGTAGGTATAATACACGAAAAATTTGGAATCAGGCGGAATTCAAGTTTTATGGCCCTAAAACCCCAAACAACGAGGAACGATCATGGCGAGGCGGTGACTAATTGCTTAGGTCGTATTTGATAGTTTGGCAAAATCTTGGCACCCTGGCCCATGTAGATAGCGTGAGTTATAACATACGAAAATCTGGGAATTAGGTAGAATTCTGGGTTTATGGCTTTAATACGCCAAGAAATGAGGAACGACCATGGCGAAGCGGTGACTATTGTTCTTTAGATCGTTTTTTATGGTCTGGGAAACTTTTAGGTGACCCGCGTATGATTGCCCAGACCCATGCAGATGGCGTGAGCTATAACACACGAAAGTCTGGGAACCAGGAGGAATTCCAATTTTATAGCCCTAAAACGCCAAAAAACAATGAATGGTCATGGCGAGGTGGTGACTATTATTCCTTAGCTGTTTTTATGGTCTCGGAAAGTTTTAAGCGATCCAGGTCTAATCGTCCAATCCCATGTAGATGGCGTGGGTTATCGCATACAAAAGTCTAAGAATCAGGCATAATTCTAGTTTTATGGCCTAAAACGCCAAAAAACGAGGAACGATCATGGCAAGGCGGTAACTATTGTTCCTTAGGTAGTTTTTATGGTCCAGAAAAATTTTAGGCGATCTGTGTCAGGATGCCCGGACCCATGTAGATGGCGTGGGTTATACCACATAAAAATTTGAGAATCGGACGGAATTCCAGTTTTATTGTCCTTAAAAGCCAAAAAACGAGGAACAATCGTGGCGAGACAGTGACTATTGTTTCTTAGGTAGTTTCTGATGGTCCGGTAAAATTTAAGGCGGTCCAGGTCAGGTAGCCTGGGCCCATGCAGATGGTTGGGCTATAGCACAAAAAAATCTAAGAATCGGGCGAAATTCTAGTTTTATGGCCCTAAAACGCCAAAAACAAGGAACGGTCATGTCGAGGTAGTGAATATTGTTCCTTAGGTCGTTTTAGGTGATCTAGCAAAATTTTAGGCGATCCGGGTCCGATTGCCTTAGCCCAGCCAGATGGCGTAGGTTATAGCACACGAAAATTTGCGAATTCGGAAGAATTCCAAATTTATAGCCCTAAAATACAAAAAAACGAGAAATGATCATGGCGAGGTGGTGACTATTTTTTCTTAGGTCATTTTTTATGGTCCGATAAAATTTTAGGTAATTTGGGTATGATCGCCCGGGCCTATGCAAATAGTGTAAGTTATACACAAATCTGGGAATCAGGCGAAATTCTAGTTTTATGAACCTAAAACTTAAAACAACGAGGAAAGGTCATGGGGGGCAGTGATTATATTTCCTTAGGCCGTGTTTGATGATCCGACAAAATTTTAGGGGATCTAGGCTCGGATGCCTGGGCCCATGCAGATGGCGTGGGCTATATCACATGACAATATCGAAATCATGTAGAATTCCAATTTTATGGCCCTAAAAGGCCAATAAACAAGAAACAGTCATGGCGAGGTGGTGACTATTGTTCCTTAGGTCATTTTTATGGTCCGACAAAAGTTTAGGCGATACAGGTCTGGTCGTCTGGGCCCATGTAGATATGGACTATAGTACACGAAAATCTAAAAACAAGCGGAATTCCAGTTCTATGGCCCTAAGACGCAAAAAATGAGGAACAGTCATGGCGAGACGATGACTATTATTCCTTAGGTTTTTTTATCGTCTCGCAAAAATTTAGGCGATTCGGATCCGGTCGCCCAGGCCCATGAAGATGGCTTGGGCTATAACACATGAAAATCTGGGAATCGTGCGGAATTTCAGTTTTATGGCCCTAAAATATCAAAAAATGAGGAACAATCATGGTGAGGCAGCGACTATTGTTCCTTAGGTCATTTTTATGATCTGGCAAATTTTAAACGATCTGGGTTCTATCGCCTGGGCCCATTCAGATGACGTTGGCTATGACACATGAAAATCTAGGAATTGGACGAAATTATAGTTTTATCGTCCTAAAAAAAGAAAAACGAAGGAACAGTCATAGCGAGGCGGTGAACATTGTTCCTTAGGTTGTTTTTGATTGTCCGATAAAATTTTTGCGATCCGTGTCTGGATGCCTGGATTCTTCCAGATGGTGTAAGCTATAGCACACAAAAAATTGAGAATCAGGCGAAGTTCTAGTTTTATGGCTCTAAAATGCCAAAAAATAAGGAATGGTCATGGCGAGACGGTGACTACTGTTTATTAGATTATTTTTATGGTCCGACAAAATTTTAGGCGATCGGGGTCCAGTCGCCCGGGCCCATGCAGTTGGCATGGGCTATAACACACGAAATTCTAGGAATCGGGTGAAATTCTAGTTTTATGGCCCTAAAACGCGAAAAACAAGGAACGATCATGGTAAGACGATGACTATTATTTCTTAGGATGTTTTTGATGGTTCCGCAAAAGTTTGGGCAATACGGGTCCGGGCGCCTGAGCCCATGCTGATGGCGTGGGATATAGCCTACGAAAATCTGGGAATCAAGCGAAATTCTAATTTTATGGCCCTAAAACTTAAAGAATCGAGGAACGGTCATGGCGAAGTAGTGACTATTATTCCTTAGGTCATTATTTATGGTCCGACAGAATTTTAGGCGATCCGAGTCTGGACGCCGGGGACCATGCAGATGGTGTGAGCTATAGCACATAAAAATCTAGAAATCAGACGAAATTCCAGTTTTATGACCCTAAAACGCCAAAAAATGAGGAACGGACATGGTGAGGCGGTGATTAATGTTCCTTACGTTGTTTTTGATGATCCGACAAAATTTTAGGCGATTGGGGTTCAGTTGTCCGTGCCCATACAAATAGCGTGGGCTATAGCACACGAAAATCTTGAAATCGGGTGGAATTCCAGTTTTATGGCCCTCAAACTTAAAAGAATGAGGATTGGTCATAGCGAGGCGGTGATTGTCGCAAATTCCAATCACCCAAATTCATGCAGATGTCGTAGACTGTAGTACACGAAAATTTGAGAACCATGTTGAATTCGTGTTTTATGGCGCTACAAAGTCAAAAAATAAGGATCAGCCATGGCGAAGCGATGACTATTGTTCACTATTTCATTTTTTATGGGCCCATAAAATTTAAGGAGATTCGAGGTCGGTTGGCCAAATTCATGTAGATGGCGTGGACTATTGCACACGAAAATCTGGCAATCATCCTAAATTCCTATTTTATGGCCCTAAACGCCAAAATGATGAACGGTCATGACGAAATGATAACTACTACTATTCATTAAGTCATTTTTTATGAGCATGCAAGATTTTAGAAGATTCGGGGCGAGTTGCCCGAATTCATGTAGATGGCGTGGACTATAGCACACAAAAAACTGGGGATCATCTTGAATTCCTATTTTATGGCCTAATACACCAAAAAAATGATGAACGTTATTGTTCATTAGATCGTTTTTATGGGCCCACAAAATTTTAGGAGATTCGAGGTCGATCGCCCAAATTCGTGGATTGTAACACACAAAAATATGAGAATAGTCCTGAATTCCTATTTTATAGCCTTAAATCGCTAAAAATAAGGAACGATCATGGCGAAACGATGACTATTGTTCGTTAGATCATTTTTTATGAGCCCGCAAAATTTTAGGAGATTCAGGACCACCCACACAAATTCATGCAGATGGCGTGGGCTATAGCACACGAAAATATGTGAATCATCATGAATTCCTATTTTATGGCCTTAAAACGCCAAAACAAACTAAAAGTCATGGTGAAGCAACAAGTATTGGTCACTAGGTCATTTCTTATGTACTAATACACATGAAAAAGTGGATATAATCACAAATTCGTGTTGTATGACCACAAAACACTAAAAAATAAACATGAAAGTCGTGGCGAAGCAATCAGTATGGATCACTAGGCCGTTTTCTATGGACATACAAAATTTCAGGTCAATCAGAATCCCTTAAAAATTCTACAAAATCAACATGGACTAATATACCCGAAAGAATAGATATAATCATAAATTCGTATTGCATACTCCCCAAAACACCAAAAGATGAACCCTAAAATCATAGCGAAGTGATGAGTATTGGTCACTACACCGTTTCTTGTGGATCTACGAAATTTCAGGCCAATTAGAGTCTGTCAAAGAAATTCTACAAAATCGATATGGACTAATACACACGAAAAAGTGGATATAATCACATATTGTATGCCCACAAATAATAGACTCGAAAATCACGACTATAGATCTACGAAATTTCAGGCCAATCGAATTCTATCAAAACAATTCTACAAAATCAGCATATACTAATACATACGAAAAATGAATATAATAATAAACTCAATGATTCGATATAAATTACTTTTTGAAGGAATTGCAACGTATGTTAGGCCACTAGCCTTCTCTTTTCCACTTATGGCCACGAGATTTTGACAAAACAATCCTTACAGGGCATTTAAATGGTTGGACCAAGATCAACTATAAGCTTATGGATTCGAGGCACCAAACAAATTATGAATGAGAAACTATCAGCTATGTCCATTTATAAGTATTATAAAAATTAGCTAATTTATAAAATATTATTAATATTAGTCATATATTACTAATATTAGCCAATTAGCTATTTGTAGCCATAAAAAGGTTAAAATTTTGCTTTCTTTTGAGTGGATGTTATTAGAATAAATTGGGTATATCTTAAGAAGCTTGAATCTCAGTTTGGAATGACTTGGTGGAGTTTTGAGGTGGTTTAAATTGAAAATTCGAAGTAGAAGATGAATATGAAAAAAGTGATATGTGTATCATATTTGTATCAAATGTGTATCACATGTATATCCATGTATACCTGTGTGTGAGATACATCCGTGATACATATTTGATACATGTGTCGCAAAAGAATTTTTTAAACTCGATTTTAACTACGAATTTTGATACCATNACATTGCTCCATTCTTAAATCTTCAACTCGCCTTCTCGCTGCAGCCAGTTTATTACCTGCCACTTCATCGAATAATTTCTGCCACCCGCTCTCCCACTCGGCATGAGCATCACAGAGCTGAAGGGTGTTATTGGCCCAATCAGTCCAGCTCCATCCTTTGTACAGTCTGTTCATTACCAGCCCAACGCAGTGGTCAGTGCATGAAGGTGTGCAAGGCCGGCACTTGGCACCACTTAATGGGCCTGGACTAGAAAGTGCTGCTACTGGAACACCAAAACGGGGTGGTGGAAAATCATAGCTACGATCCGATACAACGCAGAATGGGAGGCGCTTAGTGATGTAGGGAACTTTGTGGATAGTCAGTTGGGCCTTGAATGCGCCCTCTGAGTTGAGGAGATGGTATCCAGCTGAATCCAGCTCAGGAATCAAAGAGAGCCGTGAAAGAGCAACTACAGACGTGTTGTAGTCACCGAGACCAAAGCGATCATTTAAGCCACTGTAGGATGAACCTGGAGGAACTAGGTAGGCACCTGGAATGAAGTCGTCGGGCAATAGTGGGGCGTTCCAGTAGCCATCAACTCGGGTACGAATTATCCAGTCATAAGTGAAGTTGTTCCGGCGTTGATGAGCTTGTATCATCGTCAAGCAGCCCTCAACTAGGTTGAAATATTGCAGCAGACCCTGCCATACAGAACAGTAAAAAAATTTGTTGCAATTTCCGGAATTAGAAAAAGCCAGTGTAGCTTATTAACATCAAACCTAGGGGAATATGGCTATAAATACTTTTTATTTTTCAACTAAGCAGATGCAGATAATGTATGTAAAAACTAAAAACTAACCTTGCATTTGCCTCTGCAACTATGAGCTAAGTGCTAATGAACTCTGAGATTCACCTCTACAACAATGAGCCAAGTGCTACTGAACTCTAAGAACCATGGTTCGATCATAGTATCTCACGATGTACAACTAAACAATGAACCAGTGATCTATCATACAAAATGGTAAGAAAGATACACAATACCACAATAGCAATTTAAGTCCAACCAGTGCAGTCAGTAGCACTGCCCCGAATTAGGTAAAGATTGAGCTAGAGCAGTACTAGTTGCGCTTGAATTAGGTAAAGCTATACTACCATAAATTTAACATGCTCACATGTCAGACTAATAAAAACCATATTTAATATGAAACCTACTTTTCAAGTGCACTTAACACTAATATTCAACCATCATTAATCCGACAAAGGACTATTCGATTGCAAAATCTAATGAAATGGTGAACCATTCAATGGTGTTCCTAGTGAATACTTTCATTTTCCAATTAACAGTTCCCCTTCTCAAGTAACTAACACAGGGATTACGTGTCCTCAAATCCTTAACATTTTCTTATTTCTTCCCAACAAACCTTGGATGGTTTCAGGCAAGAGCCCACAGAATTGGTGAAGAAGCTCAGAAGGTAAACCTATAACAATTTGCACCTGAGATGCCACACCATCCAAACCAAATTTTGCCTACATTTTACCTACCTTCAGTATTATACGTCGTCCCTAACCTCTCTTCACTTTATGGAATCAACGTTTGTTTAGGTGCCAGATTCATCACTCTGTGAATATATCATCAGTTAACTCAATTCCAAACTAGTTAGTCTTAGCTATATAAATTGACGAACTCACTCAACTTTCTCAAAGTATTATGAGAGGATTCATCAAAATTAGACTTTTCTCGACCACGTACTTACTATCTCCCACCAGCAAATCTGCACGTGTTGTAACTCTGCCCACAAAGAATTAGGCGGAAGAGAAAAAATCACTGACTACTATTTTTATCCTGACTGTGAACTTACTGCAATTTCCCTCCTCAACTCGAACATAGAACGGTGGAGTTAGATTTCACCAAAGTATACGAAACCAAATACCAGAACAAGTGTCGACTGCTAACTAACAAGAGCCGCCAGCTACAACTACCATTTAACAACCTTCCAAAATTGGCTTTCAAGGTACAACAAATACACCATTAATATCTAATAACTGTTAAGATCCTAAAAAACAAAACACTTATGCCACAAAACATTCTCCAATTGGAATCTTCTTAAACTAAAGCTAAATTACTAATTAAGCTAAACAAACAAACAAAATTCCGTACACAAAAAACAAACAAAAAACAGTGAGTTTTTTTACCTGTATACCATTTGGTGAGTTGCGAGGGCTGAGAACTCGGACCTGAGACTCGGTCATGTTAATTGGTTTTGGCCGGAAAATTTTAACGGCAGAGATTCGCGGAGCAGCCTTTAACAAGGAGAGCTTATAAGCTTTAGAATCAAACGGGCTATGAAGATAAAGATCAGAATTCGGATACTCGTTCAGAATCTTCTGGATAATAGAAGGTCCAGTTAGTTCAAATCTACGAGCCCCACCCACTAAACACACTGCAATTCTAGACCGATCCAACTCCTCCTTCGTCGCCGGTTTATTCAACACAACCGGCGAAAACAACGGCTCATCATTTCTAGACCGAATCTCCGCTTGATTCGCAAAAACCGGCGGGAGTAAGCTAGACCGGTTCATCAAGGAGTTAGGAGGAGGAGGAGGAGGAGGGACATTATTGTTGAAAACGGATTTGAAAGGGGCAAAAGTGGAAAAAGGATTGTTGAAGGTGAAAGTGGAAGTAGTTATGGTGGGAATGGAGGAGAGAGAGAGATAAAAGAGGAGAGAGAGAGGAGGAAGAATTAAGAGTAAAAACTTCCAATCAAGATCTGAAGAAACCCATTTTGAACATTTTTTCAGCAGCAGCTTCATTTCTGATTCTGGGTTCTTTCTCTTCGTTCGAAATCTTGAGTTTCGTTTCTTCTTCTTCTCCCATAAATGGAAACAAAACAAAAAATTAATCTTTGTTCTACAAAAACTGCTGCTAGTATTCAAACAGACTTGAGTGTTTAAGCCATGCACGCTAAATGAAGAAAAGGGTAACGAATAATATTGGATTTTTCGACTACTATTTTAGTACCAAGAACGGAGGAAACCTGAATTTTATGAATGAACGTTGAATGACTGCTTTTTCTGGGTAAAGGTTCAGAATATTATTGTCAAAGTGTGATGATGAATCTCGATTGAAAAAAAAATAGAAAGAAAGAAAAGAATATGCATAGGAGTATATAAACTTAGAGAAAATACATAAGTTGTCCATCAAACTTGTTCGGAAAAATTATTTACACACCTTAACTTTACGGGCGACCTATGTTTATCCTATTCTTGTTTGGAGTGAATTTAATACCCCATTGGTAACACATAGTCAGTCTTATGGTGGGATGTGTAGTACACGCGTGTCACGTGTCAAAAACTGCTTTATTTTTTTTCCACTTATTTCGTTACTTTTTCTTGAACTCTTTTTTTTCCATGTCATCTTCGTCACCGCCTACACCACCATGCAAGATCCAACACTTTCAGCTTTAAAAAGTAGGGAAAAATTCCTCGTCGAAAAAATGAAGCCGGCAAATCCCAAACTTTTCAGCCAGTTAAAATCCTTCAAGCTTCGGCAAAATTTATGTCCAAATAGAAAAGCACTTTCAAATTTCAATAAATTATAACTTATCAATGGCTTCAAGGCGAGCTATTGATCCGTAGGCCATTCTATGCTCTTCCCTCTTTCANAAGTACACATGGTATTGTTATTACTGAAAGGTGGTGGAGAGTATTTCTACTCGGGTAAAGAAAAAGTAGAAGAAAAAAAGAAAAAAAGTAGAGGGGATGGAGGCAGATACAGTAGGGGAAAATGGAGATACAGTAGTATCTTGGACGGGAAAAGGGAAATGGTGACAGGAAGAAGAAAAGGTTGAGAGAGAAAAAAATAAGAAAAGAAGAATTAAAAGAAAAATGGACGCAAACAGTAAAAATGTATGTCTATTTTTAATCATTTCCCTCTTACACGCGAGTTTTGGAGAGTGAAACTACTGCCTTTGCCATGTCACCATTTAGGGTGGTATTAAATTCATCTCAAACAAAAATAAGGGGGATATAGGTCGCCCGTAAAATTAAGGTGTATAAATGATTTTTCCGGACAAATTTGATGGGTAACTTATGTATTTTCTCTATAAACTTATAATTTATTTATGATATCACGGATTCGAGCCGTATAATCAGATGATAAACTGCCTATATTATATCTTCAAGGTGCGGTCCTTTTGGAACTCTGTGTGAGCGCAACATAATTCGTGCACCGAATTACCCTTCATATATTATATTTCATTACCTGAGAAAAAAATAATACTCCCTCCGTTCTAGTTTATGTGAACCTATTTCCTTTTCGGTCCGTTCCAAAACAATGACCCATTTCTAAATTTGAAAATAATTTAGCTTAAATTCAAATTCTACCCTTAGTGAGAAGCTTTTATAACCACACAAATACTCTGGACCCCTTTTTGACTTGTTTAGGACCACAAATTTCTAAAGTTTTCTTTTTTTCTTAAACTTCGTGTTCAGTCAAACTGGTCCGCATAAATTGGAACATAGAGAGTAATAAGTGTGATTGCATGCTATTATCCTAGACCAGACCATGGATCTAACTTCCATGTATTATAGCTTCTTTGACCAAATTTCTCCCATCTTAGTAGCACTTTTTTTATTAAAAAAATGTGTTTTATTTTCAAAGTTGAAGTATTTGGCCAAGCTTTTGGAAGAGAAAAAAGTGTTTTTGATGAGAAGCAGAATCAGTTTTGGAGAAGTAGAAAAAAAGTAATTTCTTTACAAAAGTACTTTTTTGAAAAACACTTTTGAAAAAAATACACTTAGAAACAGTTTTTAAAAACTTGGTCAAACATTAATTGTTGCTCAGAAGTATTTTTCAAATTAATTAGTCAAACACAAACTACTTCTCACCAAAAGCACTTTTGAGAAAAATCAATTTTCAAAATAAGCTGATTTTTGCAGCTTGGTCAAACAGGCTATAAATATTTGTCCTCGATATTTATTAACACTTAATTAAAGTAAGAGTATATATATTATTTAATAATAATTTAATTATATATATGTGTGCGTGAATATACATAATAATACTATAATTTATTTATCTATTTAGTGTAAATACCGAATACAGAAAAATAAGTGGATAAATCTGAAAAAAGTAGATGCATCCCTTTGTCCCAAAAGATAATGTAGTAGCTCAAAATTCAAATTTATATTGTCATGACTCATGAGTTAAACGTTATTGCTATTCATTTGTGTTTTCAATAAAAGCCATTCTTTTAAAATTTTGTATTCTCCTTTGTTTGTCCATACTTGACATTCTTTACGATTGTCATCAGGGGCGGAGCTAGAGATTGAGTAACAATTCGGCCGAACCCAATAGCTTTGGTGTATTTTTTGATAAAATTCATTAAACATGTACAACTTATTAATTTAAAACATAATAACTTAAAAATAATTAGAATTCCGTACCCATAAGTTCTCCTAGGGCTGTGCACGGATCGGATCAGATCGGATTTAGCATATTTCGGATTCGAATTTCGGATTTCGGATTCTAGAAAATGCAATCCGAATCCAATACGAATTATATCGGATCGGATCGGATTTTAAAGTTTGGATCGGATCGGATATCGGATCGTATTATTATGCCTCAAAATTAAACTAATATGTATATTTTCTTTGTAAAAGAGGCAATGCATTAAGAAAAATTCATGTTTATGCAATTATGAGAGTACTATGGTGCCAATATAGCTAAATCTAGCAATTGTAAAGGTAATAACTTGGAGGTTGATGTAAATTAAAGTGTAGTATTTATACATGTCCTAATAATTTCGAATTTCGGATTGGATTGGATTAAAATATACCAATCCGAAATCCGAACTTTTAATAAACATAATCCAAAATCCGATCCAATCCGAAATCCGAAATTCAAAATTGAATGGATCGGTTCGGATTTCGGATATCCGATCCGAATGAACAGCCCTAAGTTCTCCGCCTCTTATTGTCATTTTCTTTTTGTCCTTTTCTAGTTTTGTAAAATCTTTGCATGTTATGACCTTTTTTTAATTAAAATCAATATAGTAAAAAATTGATTTACCTTTTCCTTGTTAACAGTGTTAAAAGAAAAAAACTCAAAAGAGTATGAATGAAATGGGAAATATAATACTGAGTTAGTACTTAGTAGGAGGAATAAATACAGGGAATAAAGGTTTGAAAAAGTGAAAATAATGCAAAACAGATCGAGCAATTGGCATATATTCTTTCTGACTAATCACTTCCTAGTCCATTTAATTATTTATATTTGTAATCTCAATGCAGACGACATCAGTCATGTGTCATGGATTAAGACTTGTGACAGATGTAATTAGCAAAAAATATTTATTTGACCAAACACCATAAAATATTACTCCCTTCGGTCCAAAATAAGTGATTTTTTGGGTGTTTTCACACAGATTAAGAAATTTACATTTTTACATTAATTAGCAACGGAATTGACCATATTAACCTTTATTATCTCGCATAAACACTCATAACACATATTCCAACACTAGTTACTCCAAGAAGAATGTAGGAAAAAAATAATTAATTCATTTTTGAAATCAGGGAGGAGAGGCGAAAGAGAGATTTTCGAGCCTGCAAGCAGCAAGCAACAACGGCGTGAGCCTCCAGATGCCTCCAAGCAAGCGAAGGTTTTCGGGGTAATCGTCGCGCGTCCTTCCCATGCTCCGTGACAACGACGGCTACTTATTTTGGACGGGAGGGAGTAGTAGTAAAATATTGGTGGATTCTAAATTTTACGTGGGATAGGACGCCACGTGTAGCTTGTCAAGTTGGACACTAATTTTATGAAGAAGCTTCTCGACAAGTGCTTGGTCATGGCTCACACATTTTAAATATCGGTACATCACATTTTTCATTCTATTATTATTCTATTTTAATTTAAACAATTAAATATTAATATAAGAATAATTTTTTGAGACACAATTCTGTTCTCGAGTATAAATTTGTTTAATTTTTAAAACCATTTTATGAAATAATAAAGTTGTACTGTGATTGTAATTTGTACTGAGAAGATGAAACGCGAGAATTAAATTACTTTAGCTTAAAGTGGAATATCAATATTTTCTTTTAAAAAAGGTAAGCTATTTTTGGACGACTGAAAGAGAAGACAAATTAATTCTCTTAGACAAATGGAGTGGTCTTTTATCAATGAAGTAAAGACAATTCTTGAAGATTAAAGGTTGAAATCCTAATAGAAATAAAAATTACTAGAATCTCATTTTGATAAGTGTTGTAAAGTAAAATAATAAGGTATTTGGGATAATTCATAAGATTTAAGTTATACACACTAACGTATAAATGTTATTTTTTAGGGAACCTTACATAAATGTCCCGAAAAAGTTCCAACTTACCAATTTCTAGCCATTAATCATAAACTTACTAAAATTAGTCAAACACATATAAAAATTAAAAACTNTTTAAAAAATCTAAGCAAAAAATAACTTTTTCAATGGGTATGGTTGAGATTCATTGAAAACGTATAGATGAGTCAATATACAAAATTTAAGGAAGATTGGAGGAGATTTGGACTGATTTGGTATCAAACTTCCTATATAAAATCGACTTCAAAAAATTCTTCTGCAACACATGTACCAAACATGTATCAAGTAGGGGTGTACAAAGAAAACTGACAAACCACACCAATCCGATAATCCGAGTCAAACCGAGAAAAAAAACCCGACTATGGTTTGGTTTGATTTGGTTTGGTATTGAAAAAAAAACTCGACCAAAATTGGTTTGGTTTGGTTTTAACTAAAGAAAGTCAAACCGAAACCAAACCAACCCGACATTATATATATATATATAGAAGTTTTAGATATATTAGATATATAAATATATTTATTGTGATGTAATTTATAAATATTTCTTTAAAAAATTCATAATTTTATCTTTTAAGGTATTATTTTAAGGTTGGACTTAGAACTTTTGATTGTTCCAATAAGTTTTATAGCCATTAATATTAGTAAATTAAATAATGCTAACAAAAGTCCAAACCAAAATCAAATCAATACTAATGCTAACAAAAAATATTCCATTCAATAGTTAATACTACGACGAGAATGTCTTGAATATTTATTTTTTGTTTTGCAATAATTTGGAT